CAGTGCAAGTTCATGAAGAGGGAAATAGCGAAGACTGGCTTGTTCTGTGCCCTACACAAGTCATGTCTAGAGGCCGGATTTATAGGCAATAAAAATCGAGTTTAAGGCACCAAACACAGGCAGGGAAAACAAAGTTTAGGACCCCATAATCATAAATATCAGCACCATAGTTTTTTATTCAGATTTTTTAATAAGCGCTTTCGGCACATGTCTAAGACAGGAAGGTAAAAAGAAATGCTTTAGTTTGTGAAGGTACAAATGTGCCTATGGTTTAGCAGAGCCGTGCACTTTTATGCATGCCACAGGGTTCGCTGTACAAAGTCCAGCATGGTGAATTAAGTGTCCACCGTCGAATAAGTACGCCCCTGTGTCTCTTTCTCCTTGGAATGGCTGAGAAGAGAGAGAGATAATAAAATGATGATGATGATTTGTGGGGTTTAACGTCCCAAAACCACCATATGATTATGAGAGACGCCGTAGTGGAGGGCTCCGGAAATTTTGACTACCTGGGGTTCTTTAACATGCACCCAAATCTGAGTACACGGGCTTACAACATTTCTGCCTCCATCAGAGATAACAAAATGAGGGAAAGGCAGGGAGGTTAACTAGAAATTGCAATATCCGGTTTGCTACCCTGCGCTAAGAAAAGGGAAAATGGGGAATAAAGAAGGGAAAGAAAGCGAAGAGTGAAATAGACGCGCGAAAGAGAAAAGAAGAAAAAAGTGAGCTGGGGTGCTATAGCCTATATTATTAGGCTACTAGCACGCAAGAAGTTCAATGAGTCTTTCACTGATTTTCTGTGCGAAGACAGATTATGTCGCCCTAATGGCTGAGAAAGACAGCACAGGAGTAAATAGCCAGATTGCTAATATGTACGGAACCTCGTTTAGCGTCGCATCAAGCTAATCGCACAGGGTCAATTTCTCCTCCGTCTGTGAAGATTTATTTATTTATTTATTTATTTATTTATTTATTTATTTATTACATACTGCAGACCCTTAGGCCCAAGCAGGTGGGCAGTTACTTGGGGACATAGTCGAAACAAGAAGTGGCATAAAGATTGTTTGGGTTGAGTGTTTCATACACTCATAGTGAACACAAGGAGGGACATAGCAAATTATTTCATAATAACGCATGTACCAGACAAAAGAGAAAAAACACCACAAATTCATACTTCATATGTCGTGCGATTAAAGTGAAAATAAATACATAATAAATACAAAACAATAAACACAATTATTTTCACCGTTCAAGCCAAGAAAGTAATGAATACATAAGTATACAATAAGTACAGCACATACAAGGTCAAAAAGAAAACGAAAAGAAAAGAAAAACGCTGTAATGAAGGATCGAAAACCTGAATTTTCAGGACAATGCTATTTAGAGCGAAGGAGAAATAGATCCGAAAAGGCGGCCCCTAACCAGTCTTTAGCGTTTCGAACTAGCAAGAGGAATGCATGCGCTGGGCGCTCACTATATCCCGTCTGCGTAGATTTGCGACCGCCTCGAAAGAGGTGAAATGTCAGACTGAACGCCGCTTGGCCGTCCTCTCCACGGCGAGCGCCCCAACTCATTTGAGCACGATGGTTATAGCGCGAGAACAAAACGACGACACAGAGACAAGAAGGACACTAAGGACACGAGCGCTTCTTCGTGTCCTTCTTGTCTCTGTGCCGTCGTTCTGTTCTCGCGCTATAACTATCGTCTTGTCATCCCAACTAGCCCAAGCTGCCACACTTGTCTAAGTTATTTGAGGAGTCGTGCAACAAGGAATGGTCCTGCGTACGTCACACTGATACGTCACACTGCTCGAAATATTCACGACGATGTGTGTCACTTGTACAATCGCTTGCTTAAATTGAAGTATGAAGGTTGATAGGAGCATGAAAATGTGCCCACGTTATTTATTTATTTATTTATTTATTTATTTATTTATTTATTTATTTATTTATTTATTTATTTATTTATTTATTTACTTCATATCCAGCACGATGCGAGACTAATCTGTCTCCGTTTCGTTTGCATTGGTGTTCTCGCCATTTCTCGCATCGTGCCTGTGCTGCAGCCCTGACAACGCTGGTGCATATACAGTCTCTTATAACACTTTCAGGGGTGTGGCTCTGCTTATCATGGTAAAGATACATCATCCATGCCAGCCCCTCCAAGTGTGGGCGCATAGATTAATCCATCCCACGGAAAGAAGCGATACAAGACACAGAACGCCGAGCGGACACAGCATCGCTTGCGTGCACGACCTGGCTTTGGCATGTTATGCGAATGAAACCTTGTGGGCGCATGACGGGTTGACTTGTTTGCTTCGTGTGATCATCCGCTTACGAGTCGCTCCGATACCGAAGAGGGCAGGGTATAGGAATTCGGCTCGCAAAGACTATACACAGAGAGAGCGGTGAAAGTCTCGAGCTTACCTTTTCGCAACGTGCTTTCGTGGCTCGTAATAAACCAATTAAAATATTCTTATTGTACAAAGCTTTTCATCGGACGCCCATCATATTTCTCGCGTCACCTGGTGAAGCACCGTTTTAGAAGTAGACAAAGCAAAAACCGCGTGAATTTTTTGACCTACACTCTGGAACAAACACTGGTGTGTATCTCGGCAGTTAGAAATTACAATGACCAGATTACGATGCAGAATTCTGCATCTGAATTACTACCTACATAAAGCTGGACTAACAGCATCTCCGTTATGTCTCTTTTGCTAGGAATCAAAATCAATAGATCATTTCTTTTTATCCTCTCAACGATATTCTTATCAAAGGAAAAGATACCTGGTCGAACCAATTGAGAAGCTAGGTTTAAAATAAACGTGGAAGTAATGTTATCCTTCGGAGGGATTACATTAGGTTATAGCCACAGGGAGGTTTACTCTGCCGTGCGTGAGTACATAATTTCAACAAAAAGATTACCTTGTTAGTCTATGGTTATTATTTACGGCTACGAGACTACCTGAATGCCTGACTAAGCACACTTGATGATCCTGCCGCCCGGTTCTTGGCCGATCCCCCTTTGTGGGCGAGTGCCAGCAAAGCTAGAGGCTCATCATCATCATCATCATCATCATCATCATCATCACTCTATACCTTCTTCTGATAACACTCCATGGTTTCGCATTCACTCTCTATCGTCCTACGGCTGGAAAGAAGGAGTTCCTGTTCCCTACGCGTCCCTGCAGAAGCCGTTGAGATGCCGAGCAGACGACGCGACGACGATGAATACACGTCAGAGGCTATTCAGCTCTCCTATTGGCTAAGGGACCTTATAGCCTTGACAGTGCTGAAAGGAACTTTTGAGATGGAGTGTAGAAATTAACCCATAGAGTTCCAAAAACTAAGTTTTGCATAGTTACACGAATACAGGTCTCCAGCTGTACTGGAAAGCGAAAATCTGAGAGCAAATAGCGTTCATATAGGCACCAATTTCAACGCGATAGCGTTAAAAAGCTCGTTTCACAGAAATTCTGGCATCGGTGACGGCGTCATTGATTGCGAGCGAAAATCATTATCTTATGCGTGACCGAAACAACGAGAACGATGCAAATAAAGTAAATAAATGATGAAAAATCTCGAAGCAGAGTGCGGACCAAACCAGGCTTGTTTGGGTCCAAGTGGGAATCTAACCCGGCTCGTTTGCGTCGCAAGCGGATGGTTCACCACGCGGACCCGCATCTGCTTGCGAAGACAGTGAAAAGAACTTCTTCTGCTTGGAAATGCAGCGAAAATAGCTTTCATGCTTCACAAACAGACGCGTCCTGTATACATGCTTCACAACGCAACATGAAACATTGCAGTAATAATGCCTGGTACAAGCGTCCATTGCCAACGAGCGTCAGAATATCTGATTATCATAATGGCTCCGTGGTTGAAAGTCGGTACCCCACTACAAAAGGCACACACGCTACTGCGCCCATTGCCTGAAGGCCACGTAGTGAGCCCACAGCAAATTCGAAAAGGTTTCATGCACTAAGTCTTCAAACTACGCACTAAGAACAGAATGTCGTTATCATGTTAAACTCCTAAAGGCGGACCTTTAGGGTCTTCCAAATTTCGAAAATGGGCATTTATAGGTCCTTTTAGTAATTTAGGCACAAACTTCAAAAACAGGCATTCAGAAGCTCCATAACTACACTATAAAAGCCATTCTTAATCTCTAATTCATGCTCACATATCATAATGGCACGATAGAAACTCAAGGGAAAAAATAGGCATTTGCTGCCAAGGACACAAATGGGAAACAGGCGCACAGACAGCGCTAACTTGCAACTAGTTTCAAGTTATGGTTGCACGTGGATCTTAGTTGCTGCCGCTACGCTTCGAAAGGTTATCGTTTTTGTTCGTTTATATCTACAGGAGAGCTTCATACTCGAGTATCTACACGTGCTGGCAAGTTTTGCAAGTTGCACCCGGAGCAACAACGGAACGCACAGAGGAGGTGGAGACTGCTTGGGAAAGAGATCAGGCAGGCCAACGGGCGTATCTGTATACGTGAGAGATGCGCTCGCCGATACACAGCGGAAGGAGACGAAAGCCTCTTGGCGGTGAGAGGAGTGGAAGACGTAGCGGGATGCGACATCCGCACGAATATCACGCTTCGGAATGGGACAGTATCGCGTCGAACTTGTCTGCGGTGGGCATTTAGCGAGGAGGTGGTGAGGTCGCAATGTTAAGCAGATGACAGAGCGATGGAGAGAGAGAGGATTACAGAGACGCTGCATGGGATAGACGACGAAGTAGTACTTTAGGACATTTCCACGGACGCCTTTATCTTCAGCTCGGGGATTATACAATGCGGGCAAGCAAGCAAGGCGATGATCTTCCCTTCCACTTGCGCTTTGTCTGCGATGTCGCCTTCGTCTGTAGCGCGTTTTTCATTTTTTGAAAATTTTACGGAAGGTGGAAAGCGAAAGTGTGCCGCCTCCTCGACGTAGCAGTCACCGTACGGTGCACTTCGACACGACCGATCTTCGACCGGGTATAAAAGTCGAGGAATCGGCTCGGCTGATCACAAAACGCACGGCAAGCTCTCTAAACAAGAACTCCCTTCAAGTCAACGAGCAACAGCGTAGCACAGGAGTGAAAAGAAGATCCGTGGTTAGCGGAGCAAGCGAGCAGTCAACATGGGAGTCCTCGTAAGTATGCTGCCGGTGGTACCGTGGTGCGTGGCCTCGGTGATTGACGGCGCGCTGTCGGAGTTAATCGCTGAGGACGCGGGTAATGGGACGGCACCCTTTCATCCTGGACTGTAGGGGGCTCTGACGCGTCCAACACTGGTGGATACGACGGCAACAACGGCATACGATTCGAGGCGGAAGCTCACGAAACAACGCGGCCCGCCTCCATGGATTATTAATACGGGGTGTATGCTTCCGAACTGCTGTAAGGTATCGCATTGGGTATTTTTGGATGCGCTTCATAAAGACCGACCCAGTGAGGCACGTCGCGAACCACAAACGATTTTTTTTCCAACACTTTCACTTGTGGTTACCTGCGTGTCGTCGTATTTATCAAACGCGTCTACGAACGCAGCATACTCGCCGAACGATATTTAATCTACAGTCTCAAAAAGAGGAGTAATAAGCTTGTCCAACGTCGCGATGACGGAAAGCACAGGGATCCAGGATTCCGGAACGTTCAGATCATTGTTACTTATTTTACCAGTGGTTAATCTACAGTCACAAAAGGCGGAGTAATAAGCTTGTCCGACGTCGCGATGACGGAAAGCACAGGGATCCAGGATTCCGGAACGTTCAGATCATTGTTACTTATTTTATCAGTGGTTAATCTACAGTCACGAAAGGCGGAGTAATAAGCTTGTCCAACGTCGCGATGACGGAAAGCACAGGGATCCAGGATTCCGGAACGTTCAGATCATTGTTACTTATTTTACGAGTGGTTAATCTACAGTCACAAAAGGCGGAGTAATAAGCTTGTCCGACGTCGCGATGACGGAAAGCACAGGGATTCAGGATTCCGGAACGTTCAGATCATTGTTACTTATTTTATCAGTGGTTAATCTACAGTCACGAAAGGCGGAGTAATAAGCTTGTCCAACGTCGCGATGATGGAAAGCACAGGGATCCAGGATTCCGGAACGTTCAGATCATTGTTACTTATTTTACCAGTGGTTAATCTACAGTCACGAAAGGCGGAGTAATAAGCTTGTCCGACGTCGCGATGACGGAAAGTACAGGGATCCAGAATTCCGGAACGTTCAGATCATTGTTACTTATTTTATCAGTGGTTAATTTACAGTCACAAAAGGCGGAGTAATAAGCTTGTCCGACGTCGCGATGACGGAAAGCACAGGGATCCAGAATTCCGGAACGTTCAGATCATTGTTACTTATTTTACGAGTGGTTAATCTACAGCCACAAAAGGCGGAGTAATAAGCTTGTCCGACATCGCGATGACGGAAAGCACGGGGATCCAGGATCCAGGAACGTTCAGATCAGTGTTACTTATTTTACCAATGTTGACGCTGCTGCTTAAAGTGTGAGCGATGGGGCTGGTCCAGTGCCTGCGAAACTACCTGGCAGTAGCCTGATCGAGAGATAGCCCAGTGGTGCTTCGGGGATTCCCCTAGCATTCGCGGTCAGGGTTAAACACCATTATACAGAACAAAAGAGAAAAACTGTCTGACACTACAAAAGAGAAAGGGCTTTCACTTACGAAGCTGTGCTACAAAATGAGAGCGCTACAAGGATTTTTATCTCTAGGCGCCACCGTAACGACCGACAAACGAAACTCGGAAAGAAGCGTATGTCTAAACTTTGTTCTTCCTTGCGACTGTTACAGGGCCCGTAAACCAACCAGAGGCAAAAACGTAGATGTGGCGTTGCAGTTGCAGTTGTGTTACGAGTATGCAGCGAACGCTTGGGGAATTTCGCGTGCTTCCTCGTTTCCCTCTTTCCTTCACTAGGCCTCGTTCGTCAGCTCATTTGACCACCTCTCCCAGTGCCCTTGTTCAGCGTCCGAGGTGGAAACGCAACAGGCGTGTGCACGTGCTAGCAGAAAACGGGCATTCGTTCGCCCATCACAGCGTCGCCGCGTACACAGCGTCAGTTGACGTCATGTCAGCTGTTGACGTCATGTCAGCATGTCAAAGGCACTGAGAGCATCACGCGAGCGTCCGTTGGTGGTTTACGGGCCCTTTAACGCTATGCATGAGCTCAGCTTTTAAAGGATACATAACCGAACTTTTGCCTACCACACCTGAGACGTGCCCGAAAAACACCGTCTTCCCAAGTGATCAGCAGTTTTGTGTGAACGATCTAACACTATTCGAGCACTATTCCGTCTACAAAGGTCTTTAGATTAGTCGGGCACACGGATTGGTGGCGAATATGCTCTTCGAAAGTCACGAAATATATTGGGGGAGGGGGTGGTATTTTTGTGGGAACGACTAATTATTTGTTACCCTCACGTTGGCTATACTTGTCAAAATGATTGGATAGAAAAACTCCTACAGGAAACTTAGGTTGGGAAGTCCAGCGTGGTAAAATCGCAGATACAGGAATTCATGCTGTCCGACCAGTCTATTTGCCTTAGACGACATAACCAAAAATGTGCGTATATAGAAATATGAACTCAGATAGCGGGCATCAAACAACAAGCCACGTGAGTCGATGTCGTTTCACGGCACATCCGCGACTGCCCTTCTTTATGGATCGTTTCTTCAAAAAAAAAAGCGACCCGCGTTCTCAACGAGGACATTGATTTTTCTTATTTTTTTTTTCCACGCAATCGCAGGCCACATCAGTATTCTTGGGAGTGCTCTCCGTCGCCTATGGCGGTTTCCTGCACGGCGGCAGAGGCTCTGCTCTTTACGGCGAAGTCGGTGGGGTCGCCGTCCACCATGCAGCGCCAGCCGTGGCTGCTGCACCGGCTGCCACCTTCGTCCAACAAGCCGCCCCAGCCACTACTGTCGTGCACCACGCTCCTGCGGTCGCCGCAGCTCCGGCTTTCGTCGCCCCAGTAGCGACGCACGCTAGGCCCGCAGGCCTGGGCTTCGGCTTTGCCCAGCGCTTTCTCGCCTCGGCCCCGACCTACACGGCAGCCGCTCCCGCTGTCAGCTTCGTTCAGCAATCTGCTCCGGCCATCACCGTCAGCCGTCCGGCCGTAAGCTACGTCCAACAAGCTGCGCCGGCCATCACTGTGAGCCGTCCAGCTGTAAGCTTCGTCCAACAAGCTGCCCCGGCCATCACTGTGAGCCGTCCAGCTGTAAGCTTCGTCCAGCAAGCTGCCCCGGCAGTAGCTGTTAGCCGTCCTGCAATCAGCTTTGCCGCTCCAGCCGTCGCCGCCGCTCCAGCAGTAGCTGTTAGCCGTCCTGCAATCAGCTTTGCCACTCCAGCCGTCGCCGCCGCTCCAGCTGTAACTGTTAGCCGTCCCGCAATCAGCTTTGCCGCTCCAGCCGTCGCCGCCGCTCCAGCGGTAACTGTTAGCCGTCCTGCAATCAGCATTGCCGCTCCAGCAGTAGCTGTTAGCCGTCCTGCAATCAGCTTTGCCGCTCCAGCCGTAGCCGCCGCTCCAGCAGTAGCTGTTAGCCGTCCTGCAATCAGCTTTGCCGCTCCAGCCATCGCCGCCGCTCCAGCTGTAACTGTTAGCCGTCCCGCAATCAGCTTTGCCGCTCCAGCCGTCGCCGCCGCTCCAGCGGTAACTGTTAGCCGTCCTGCAATCAGCTTTGCTGCTCCAGCCGTCGCCGCCGCTCCAGCTACAGTCGCCGTCCACCACGCTCCCGCTATTTCCTACCGTACCGCTGCAGTCACCGCTCCAGTCGCCACCTTTGGTGCCGGACTCGGCTTCGGTCACACCTTTGCCGCAGCTGCGCCAGCTATCGCAGTCAGCCGTCCTGCTGTGAGCTTTGCCGCCCCGGCCGTCGCCGCCGCTCCAGCAGCCGTTGCCGTCCACCATGCTCCGGCCGTCGCTGCTGCTCCAGCTGCTGTCGCCATCCACCATGCTCCAGCTGTCGCCTACCGTACCGCTGCCGTCACGGCACCAGTTGCTACCTTTGGAGCCGGCCTCGGATTTGGTCATACACTCGCCGCTGCTGCGCCAGCCGTTGCTGCCGCACCGGCTGCCATCACCGTGCAGCATGCTCCAGCCGTCGCCTACCGCAGTGCCGCCGTGACCGCTCCAGTTGCCACCTTTGGCGCCGGCCTCGGTTTCGGCCACACGATCGCCGCAGCTCCCGCATTCGCAGCTGCCCCTGCAGCCACTGTTGTTCATCACGCCGCCCCTGCCGTTGCAGTGAGCCGCCCCGCCATCAGCTTTGCCGCTCCAGCCGTCGCTGCCGCTCCGGCAGCCATAGCTGTGCACCAGGCACCAGCAGTTGCCTACCGCGCGGCTGCCGTTTCTGCTCCCGTCGCCACGTTCGGCGCAGGTCTTGGCTTCGGGCACAGTTTTACTGGTCTTGGTATCGCTGGTCCAGCCTACTCGCGCCAGATCTCCATCTCTACTCCAGCGGTTGCCGCAGCCCCAGCCGCAGTAGCAGTCCATCACGCTGCTCCGGCAGTCACTGTCCACCACGCTGCTCCAGCCGCCGTGGCCGTTCAAGCCGCTCCAGCTGCCGTCGCCTACCGCACCGCCGCCGTGGCCGCACCTGTCGCCACCTATGGCGCTGGACTCGGCTTAGGCCACACTCTCACCGCAGCCCCTGCTGGCTTTCAATTCAACACCATTGTCGGAGGTTCTGGCCTCGGCTATGGTGCCGGTGCACCCCACATCAAGATCATCACCCCCGTGAAGAAATAGGTTGCGATGCGTTCGGGCTCAATGAATGCGTCTCGACCCGGGTGGTCTGGGACAACGGCAGCCACCACTGGCAGTCATTTCAGCAACATGCTTATTTATTGCTTACGATAGCCAACATACTGCCCTTGTCCGCCATTCGGCACCAATGCAGGCGATTGGGTCTGCTGGGACGTGTTGCTCCCACCCCAGGAAAGCAAAATAAAGTGCTGTTTCTGTTAAAGAAAGATCATTGGTGGCGCGGCGCAGGATTGTTTCTTCCAAAAGAGTCTACAGTTGATTGAGTGCACTGCAGAGCGTCTGCCACTGTGAAACGTACTGCAAGCACACAGAATATTTCGAGTTGTTCGGCCCTGCCACAACAGATCACGAAAATTCTGAAGTCATTATGATGTCACCAGGACTTCACATGACATGACGTCATCTCCCGGATTTCATGATAAAAAGTGGGCTGATACGAGAGCCCAGTAAAAAAAAAGTAGACGAGCTGCTAGAAGTTTCCAATGTCTCGTATCCTAGAGGCAGTGAAAAAAGAACGTCGAGTACAATAAAAAACTTTAGCGATGGGGTGGGGGACGAAGTTAAGACTGAGAAAAAAAGATGGTTTTGACCTCCAAATTGTCCAAGGCGAGTGCATGATCCTTGATTGATTGAACAATTTATTGATTTATATGTGGTGCTTAACGCCCTATAACCACTATATGATTATGAGAGACCATCCAGTGTAGGGCTCCGGAAATTTCGACCACCTGGGGCTCTTTAACATGCAAAAAATCTGAGAATACGGGCCTACGGCATTCTCTTTTCCATCAAAATGCACCAGCCAGAGCCGGGATATCATCCCGCGACCTGCGGGTCAGCAGCTGCGTACCTTAGCCACTTGACCAGCCCAGCGGGGCGGCGAGAGTTTGAGTGGCCCAGCGAGTTTTTTCAGCGCTCTTTCTAGTAAAGAAAGTATGACGGTTGCTTAGGCTTGTTGGTTCCTTTAGATGCGAGGCACAAGGTGCATTCAGTTTTCCTTAACTGTACTGTAGCATTCATTATTATATTGTTCACACTTCTTTCCTAAAAACACGATGGAGGCGGTTGGCCACTACTCTTGGTTAAATAACTACAGCATAATTATCGTTGTCTTTCGGCGTTACTTTCATTTCATTTAGTGAGGTGTAACATTCAATGTGGCACTGCACAATAAGCGAGTATTAGTTCAGTTTAGTTTACTTATTTACAATAAGAATGTCTGCATGAATGTTTGTGGCATGCGACAACAATTCTCAAAAACGATCTATCTATCTATCTATCTATCTATCCGTCTGTCTGTCTATCTATCCGTCTGTCTGTCTGTCTGTCTGTCTGTCAGTCTGTCTGTCTGTCTGTCTGTCTGTCTGTCTGTCTGTCTGTCTGTCTGTCTGTCTGTCTGTCTGTCTGTCTGTCTGTCTGTCTGTCTGTCTGTCTGTCTGTCTGTCTGTCTGTCTGTCTGTCTGTCTGTCTGTCTGTCTGTCGATGTATCTATCTTATTACGTTCAGTCCCTATCCTGCTAGGCTTCTTGGGCGTATGTCAAAGCTAGCATACAAAGACGTGAGTGAAGGGCAAACAAAATTCACTGGCTGTGAAATAACTAAGGTGACATAATTGTCACGTACATCCGGAAACCGTTTCTCTCAGTCCTGTGTGGCGCATGCCCGCATAGCATGGCCGGTGTAATGCAGATACACGCCACACGTGACACGCAGTCCACACCAGCCAAAGAACGGTGAGAACAGACATGGTAAAAACTAACCTTATTCCATAAAGGCGCCTCTGAGGCAGCAAGTTGTTTCGCAGTGTGAAAAACCTTCTCTGTGAGATAAAAATCACAGCATATATACGGAATGAATGATGATCAGTGGGGCGAAGCATCCGTCGATCCGTCCGTGCTTGCGTCCATGCGTGCGTCTGTCTGTCCATGCGTCCGTCCGTGCATCGGTCTATCCGTCCGCGTGCCTGTTTGTGCGTCGGTCCATGTGCCTGTTTGTGCGTCCATACGTGCGTCCTTCTGTGCATGAAGCCCTCCGTCCATCCGTGAATCCGTGTGTCTGTCTGTCCATCTTCCTGCCTGTCTGTCGGCGTCCATGCGTTCATCCGTCCGCCCATCTAGTGAATACTTTAAGTACCACAATCTCGTTACTTTTTATTATATATTCATCATATACAAGTACCACCATCCAGCGGACAATCCAAGGACTAAACAAGAGTAAGTACCACATTTCTGCTGTCAGCGCTTTGTTAACACCGGGAGCGTGGTAACGACGCCATGCTACGTTTTTCGCAACATGTGGACATGCGGATATGTGCCCGAGGGCGGGTATGTGCCACTGGCGTGCGGGCATGCGCCACAGGTTACACACTACGACAACGGGAGTTGCACAAGTTACGCCATAAGGAGCTCCGCCCTCAAAAAAGAGCGGCGAGCGCCAGGACTAAGAAACTGGCCACAAGTTGGAACTGAATGCAGGCATTCTAGGAAATATTCAATTATTCCACCACACATCTCCACCAATGCTCGAAACTGATTAGCAAACTGACCATGTGCAGTCGTATTGTTGACGAAACGTCAAATGTGCCTGCAGATGCGTTTGGCACAGTGAGAGCGCAGGAACACACAACAGCGATGGAAGTACCTCATAACAAGAGCGCCAACTAACAAGCAGTTCGCTGAGCAAATATGAATTACTAACCAGCTCATGTTTGGATCCTTTTGTGCTTGCATAGTTGGCTGTTCGCTTTTATGAGATTGTAATGAATTTTACCGATAAGCACTCTCATAGCTCAGCAGCCTTTGGTTGAGCGTCGGTATACCATCGAGGTTTAGGCTAACGACCACTCTTTATGACATGTCGTATTAACACCATAGAGTGCACTTCGTTTCCACTTAACCGTCGAATCACTCAATCATTTACGTCATAATGGAAGAAGACATGCTTTATTTTGGCGGAAAGCAGGGTAGGTGTAATATATAGTCGTTTTGAAGTTACTTGCTTGCAGTAATGAGTCGTTATGACATTCCTCATTGGAGGAAAAAAGTAATTGGAGTAATCAAATTCGGTTACTGCCCAAACGGACGCCAGTGTAGTAGGCGTGCCTAGTAAACTACAAGTACACAACTACAAGTAAACTACAAGTACACAAAACGGCGGCAATTAAATTTTCAACGCAAAGCTCAATGCAAATAAACAAAAATACCTCATAGGTACCCCCTTACTGGCTGCATTGCTTGAAATCGATTGCCACGATTCATATCTGCGAGAATTTTTTTATGCAGCGACCGTACACGCGAGGTTCAATATGCTCGTAAGAAAAAAAAGAGGGAGTCGCTATAATTAACGCTAAGCGGCGCATGAGTCAAAGCTCTCAGGTGATACAAATTAATGACTTGACTACATTAATTACGCATTATTGCCTAGTGTTTTAGTGGACCACTTTGCTCTCCCACTTTTGGGGCTTTCTGCCACCCAAGTGGTTCTGCCGTGCCAGGTCGATTGAACCACCTTTTGCTAAGCGAAGTTGTCACCCTAAAAAAACTTCACAAAAGGTTGTCATCGTATGCCATCGTCAATAAAGTCACCCTGTTTGAATTACTAGATTCAGTCCTTTCGAAAATTTCGCGCTTTTCGAAACAGAACCCCCCCCCCCCCCCCATGAATCATCAAACGCGAAAATTGACCGTATTGGCGTAGAACGTCGCCCCACGGCGTCGACGCGAACGCGAGCGATAAGAACAGATACTCATCACGTGATAACATAATCATATGACGTCACTGCCACGTAAAGTATCACCTAAGTTTGGGCACGTCACAATAAGGTAATCATGGTTCATAGGAATAAACAAAAACGATAAACATGGAGGACATGAACACATCTTTCATGGTGGCCATTTCGGTGTTATAAATGTAGGTTTTATTTGTAATTATGCAAAAAATTTAAATTATTTCTCGAAATCAATTGTATAAAGAAACATGGCTTACGAGATCCCATAATGACATTGTTCTCTTGAGTCTTTTCTGAAACCAATGGAGCTTCGGTTGCAATTTCAATAGTCTCGCACAGCTGAGAAGCATTAAACACATGCTACTAAACACAATGCCTTAAAAACTTTTACCGCGTTTTTCGTAACTGTCAAACCATTCAAATGTGTGATGTTTCAAAGGAAAATTTCAAGGGGCGATACTTGCAAAAGGTGTCAAGCTCCCAGTCTGAGAGCAATTTGACCCCCCCCCCCCCCCCCGACTCCCCCACGATTTTCGCCACTTATGGCGTCAATGTGGCGCCGTAGTTTCAAAGTGCAAGAAAATACACGGACAGAAAACAATGAACATTAGTGAAAGTTTCCATAAAAAAAAATTGGTCCGAAGCTACATGTTACACTGTAAATGTCGTCTAAAGACGATAGTCTTGCGTCTGGAGAGAGTGAACAAAGCGTTTATTTGATGTTCTGCGCAAGAGAATCGGTGAATGGTATTCTGCAGGCACTGCGTTAGAGTGCCTCGAGCGTGTGGCGGAGGCGAACAAGCGCATGTAGGCACGTTAGACACAAGTGCCATCTGGCAGTTATCTTCGAAAACGAAGGCGTGCAGCCCGCGGAGAAAGATACGCGCCAGTCACGGAGGTGATAAGGTGTAGAACGCAAAGCGACGGGCAGGTGCCGCCACCGTGACATCGTAGCAAAGCGTTGGAAACACCTTTTTGGGCATTGCTATGCACTGCCAGCGAAGCGTGATTAAACGGTACATTCCTTATAGTCACTTGTGTTTGCCTCTTCTAGTATAAAGGTAGACATAGAAAACATCGAAGCGTTGTTGTGGCGCCTCAGATATGCGCAATAATTGCTTTTTAATTGACAATTGCACAACTATGAACGCTAAACCTTGAGCAATATTGGTGGGCGCTGCGGAAGGGGTTGGCCGTTTGATCCCGTTTGAGGTATCGATAGGGCAGACAAACAGACAAATGTACAGACAGA